GATTATTTATAAAATGAATAAAAGAAAATATTACTATGATTTAAATGGAAAGTAGGTATCATTTGCATAGTATTAAGTATTTACCATATACTAGGACATTTTGTTTTAATATATACCTTACATTCATGAGGGAGGGGGTGGTTAACTTTGCCACATAACTGTTCTTTTCTCACAGAAGTTGTTATCCTTCTAAGCAAAGGTGAATAATTCAGAATCTTAAGCCAGAAAGATTCTGACATGTGTTGTAAAATTATATCCTGCATTACTGATAACCCAGAGAAGTTCAATAAAAGGTTATAACCAGTTTGAGACTAAGCGATAAAATGAATGGGAGTGAGGGGACAGCAGAAAATGAGGAGATGACACAAAATAAGCTGACCTTTACTGGTCACAACTGTTAGTTGGAGGCTGACATTTATGGTCACCTAAATCTTCTGAGATTGTTCCTGTTGATATTACAGTAGAAGTAATAACTACATCTCAAATTTAAATTTGGGTTATGACAGGGGAATATAGATTTGTTCAGTATGGTCCAGGGCACCTGACTAGGGGAGGATGATAGGCTATTTTCATTACTGCCAGATTATTAGCTGGCAAATTTTAAGTTGTACCAGATAGAAACATATTATCTCTTCACTCATGTCATTTATTTTCCTGCAGACTCCATGTATGTGTGGGATGTTAGGACACAGAGTGAGGAGGAGATAAGTGGCTCAGAATGGGGGACTGTTCTGAGTTGGCTTTCCTTCCATAAGGATAGATTGAGAACTCAGGGCCAGGGAAGGTAGAAGGAGAAGGCTTACTGCTTGTTGCCAGTTTTTGTTTCTCATTCTGCCTTGCATTATTAACCTGCCAGTATGCTGTCCGAGTACCATCTTGGCCCATAGGACCATGTGTTTTGTGTACCTTCTAGGTACCAAACCCCATGCTAGACCTTCAAAATAGGAAGATAAATGTGACATGGTCTTTGTTCTTTTAAGCAGCTTAGATTTAGTAAGGAAGACTGCCATGCTGAAAGAGATATTTTCAATGAATTCTCCAACAGAAGGGTATAGAATAGGCATCTTTCATTCTTATTAGAACTGGGTTAATTGTGGAAAATGCAGGTAGCAAATTCTTTATTTTTGTACCTTTTAAATTTTATTAAAATATAACTTTGCATTGTTTTAATGCAGTAATATTTTGCCTGCTTCCTTTTGATTCATAGATCTTATTCATACTTCATTGAAGTGTCCATGGATGAACTTGACTGGATCCGAGTGATTGATCATTCACAATATCTGTGTCGTTCTTGGCAAAAATTATATTTTCCAGCCCGTGTCTGCAGGTTAGTTCTTATAGATAAGAAATTACTTTGATATTTATATAAGGATATTAGAGCTTTAAGAAACACTGTAGTTTTCTATGGTATGGAAAAATATTTTCCCAGAGTATCAGTTATCAAACACATATCCACTAAAACTTGTGGAAAGATAGAATAATATGTATCTTATTATTAATGGTGCATTGTGAAACTATGCAAAATGTTTTATACTGTATAGATAGGCACTGTGTGGTGTCTATTTGGAAAATATTTAACTGTATATACTTGCCTGAGGATGGCAGGAGGAACTTGCTTGAAAGTGTGCCAGGAAGTGGGGCTGGTATTGAGTTTGTGACATTGAAGCAGCCACATCTCCACTCCTGTGGTTGCTGTGACTTGTTTAGAGTCTTCTAGTTGCAGCTTTCTAGAGCATTGATGGTGTGTTTGCCCTGCCCAACTACCCCCCAGGCTGTGGGTCTGCTCAGTCCATCAGGACTTGGGATTCTGATTAGCCTCCCTGTGGCTGCTCGGAGACTGCCCCTAACCCAGAGGCAGTTAGTTGCTGTGCACTGTTCCAAAGCAGTTAGTATAGGAGTTACTTTGATAAATGTGTATCATGTATGGTATGAGCACATGTCCAAATCACATAAAGTCTTATTTCACAGAACATATTGTACAAGCTAGATGACATATACCTCTATTAGAGCAGCTGGTGGATTTGAACCACGTATACCTCTATTAGAGCAGCTGGTGGATTTGAACCACGTGCCTTTGAGATTGCATGCAGCTGCTTGCCACGAGGCCACCAGTGCTACCTTATTTATGTAGTAAGTAAATGAATAAGAAGGAACAAGGAGCGCTTGAGCCCTGGATTTGCATTTTAAACTTTACACCTTACATTGAAAAGAGTTAGTGTATGTAAAAGGAACATTTTTTCCATGAAAGCCATGAAAAATTTTTCAAGAGGTCTCCTTGGTAGTCCCCAGGACCAGGAGAAGGTTTTAGATGCCAGAGTACATTTTGTGCATCTCTGTGTTCCTTCTCTAGTTATAAAACAAAGTTTGAAGTTTGACAATGCAGATGCTTTAAAAGGGGTTGAGATTGAGTCAAGGGAAGCTGAGTGGGTGGGATCTCTAAACTTATATCATCTCTTAGGCCAAGACATATTAGCTATTGTTGATAGGAATTGCAGCCCCATTTAAGATTGTTTCTAAAAGACATATTTAAAAACTACTGTTGTAATATTTTATATATATGTATTTTTAAACCTATAAGAATTCATGAATTCAGGGGTTTTAAAAGATAATTAAAGACCCCTAAAATTCTTTGTCTTTGCCTTTTTTGTTTGTGTTTTGTTTCTCTAAGAGCTGGAGGCTCCCTCTAAGGTTCTGTTCTTCCCATGATGCCTGCACTCTTTCACTTGTCACTACGTGCAGCTTCTTCAACTTTATTCATTCTCATTCCACTCACAGAACAGCTCACAGGAGTCTCGGAAAATTACCTTCAGATATTCTTTACCTGAAAGTCAAGAGATCCAGGACAGGACTAATTCACGGAGTCAAGTGTGCAGGAAGGGAGGGAAAGGGGTGTAGCAGGTATAAACTGAGGACTTGGAGCTAGCCCTTTGTTCATCTCCTCTCTACCCTTACTTATGACCCTACCTGACCTTTCATTGTGGCTAATTTGGAGTATATGGGGGCACCTTACAGCACTATGTCTCTTGCTCAGAAGTCTCTTTTATACTTGTTGCACTCATAATAGCCTAAGGGTGAATTCTTTCTTATACTACAGTAACCTCACAGTACTTCACTTCTTTTACAGCAAAAAGTATTGCCTACTTTTTTTTTAAATTATGAGTATGACTGGATCCTCTGGTGTGAAAATGAAGAAAATCAATTTCATTTTGCCGAAGAGGTACTAAAGTATCTTAGGTCTGGTGGTTGCTCTTTTTTTATCAGAGGAATTTTGAATAGATAAAAATGAGAGAGACAAGAAATTGAGTGCAGATTCTTTATCTCTGAGCTGCCTAGGGATACTGTGAGAGTGACAGAGGGCCCGACATAGAGGAGGAGATTGACTCTGCATCGACTTGGGTTATTAAGGATGTGTAGGGGATTATGAAATAAGTAGCATAACAGCCAAAGTGTCTGATGTACGTGGACGAACTCTGTGTTTGTATTTATTTTGAAACAATAGGAACGTGGTTCCCAGAACATATCACTGAGAGTAATACCAGTCATGACAGGATCTATGTGCTTTTCTCACTCAAAAGCTCATTTATATGGAGAGAGACATGTGCTTGTGGTGGTTTTTTTTAGAACATGTACTTATCCCTCCTTTATTAATGGACTTGATTATTTGTGCTTCCTTTTTTCTTCTTTTGACTCTTTTGGGCTTGTCTTTTCTGATGAGGCTTTGTATGTGTTGTAGAGCCTAGATGCCTATCATGAATGCATCTAGGCTCTGCACCATGATGCTAGATTGTGTGTCAGTATAGCCAGCTTTCGATTCTTAAGAAAAACATGGTATTAGAGTTAATAATTAACCAGAAAAGAAGTGAGTTTTGATACTATAAATACCTTGGCATCAGAAATGACTTATAGCTGACCCTCCAGTGGATTTTCAGAGACAGTCAATTTCGTGAGAGGAAATTGTCCATCCTTCTGCAGAGCACCTGGTGGATTGCAGCACAGCTTCTTACCACTAGGCCACTAGAACTCCCTGATAATATATTGGTCTTTGTTGTGTGTCACTAAGTCAGAACCAATTCATAGCTAACCTCCAGTGGGTTTTCCGAGGCATTTAATCACACAGGAGAAGATTGCTCATCCTTCTTCTGTGGAGCAGCTGGTGGGATTGAACTGCATGTCTTTGAGATTGCAGCACTGCTTCTTACCTATAGGCCACCTGAGCTCCCTTTGATACTACACTAGTAAGACTTAAAAATCATTTTTATTATGACTTGAGGGAAGGTTTGTTGTTGCTATTGTTATGTGCCATTGAGTCACCTGAGATTCATAGCATGGCGTCCTTCTCCAAGGATTGGTCCCTCCTTGCAACCTGTCCAAAGTGTGTCAGGTGAAGCCTCAGAATCCTTGCCTCCAAGAAGCATCTAGGTTTAATCTGCTCTAGGATGAACCTGTTCCTTTTCTTAGCAGTCCATGATATGTTCAATACTGTTCTCCAACACCACAACTCAAAGGCATCAATTCTCCTTCTATCCTCCCTAGTCATTATCCAGCTCTCTGACGTATAGCAAGTGATTGCAAAGACTATGGCCTGTATCAGGTGCACCTTAGTCTCCAGAGTGACACCAGTGCTCTTAAGTACTTTGGAGAGGTCCCTAATAGCAGACTTTCCCATCACGATGTGTCTTGTAATTTCCTGGCTGCTGGGGCCAAGAGTATTGACCATGGAGCCAAGCAAACTAAAGATGTTAACAATCTCAATCTCTTCCATCCATCCTGATACTGCCAATTGGCCCAGTGGTGAGAATCTTTGTCTTCTTGACATTGAGCCTCAGTCCATACTGGACTAAGTTGGTATTTTCATAGCATTTTAAAATGCACCCAAGAACTAGTCTATATTGATTATCCAAGCATGTTTTTATACTTGCTGGTTCTTATCTTCATAATCATTTATTGACTTCTTATACAGTGTTCTAAATGCACTTCTTCCACGAAGAACTATTATTATTGCTGTTAGGTGTTACATGTTATTAGGTGCCGTAGAGTCATGTACAACTCATAGCAACCCTATAAACAACATACAGAATCCTTTTCTGTGCCATCCTCATCGTCTTTGACACTCTTGAACCCAGTGTTGCAGTCACTATGTCAGTCATTGTTTAGCTCTCAGCAGTATAGCAAGTGATTGAAAAGACTGTGACCTGAATCAGGTGTGTGTTAGTCTTCAAACTAACATAATTGCTCTTCAGTATTTTGGGGAGGTCCCTGAGAGTGGGTTTGTCCAAAGCAATACATCCCCTGATCTCCTGACTGCTGGTACCAAAGATATTGATTATGGATCCAAGTAAGATGAAATCATTGACAGTTCTTTATTTCCTTAGCTCTTTAGTGCTATTTGTGTTACATCAGATAATTTGTACATTCATATGTCACCTTCAGTCTTCATTGTCCTTTTCCTATTTAGCCTCTGATAATCAAATTACACTCCAGGAGGCAAGGAGTGTGGATTCTTGGTTAATATTCTTTCGTGGTACTCAGATTATGACCTTGTTATGTGCCATCGAGTTGCTGGCAACTTATAGTGACTCTATGTACAATAGCCCTAAACCCTGCTCTATCCTGTGCCAACCTTATTGTCTCTGGCTCACCTACCCCCACAACCTCAGTGACTGAATCAATCCATCTTATCAAGGATCTGCCTCTCTTAGGCTGTCCCTCCACCCTCCCGAGCATGATGTTCCTCTCCAAGGACTGGCCCTTCCTTGATACATGCCCGAAGTAGGTCAGACAAAGCTTCAGAATCCTTGCCTCGATGCAGCAGCTTGGTTTCACCCTCTCTAGGACAAACCTGTTTTTTCTCTCAGCAACCCATGATATATTCAGTACTCTTCTCCAGCACCACAGCTCAAAAGCATCAGTTCTCCTTCTGTTATCCCTAGTTATTTATTGTCCAGCTTTCTGATACATAGCAAGTAATTGCAAAGACTATTACCTGTATCAGGCACATCTTGGTCTCCAGCCTGACATCGTTGCTTCTCAGTACTCTGGAGAGGTCCCTGACAGCAGACATTCCCAGTTCAATTCGTCTTTTAATTTCTTAGCTGTTGGTACCAAGAGTGTTGATTATGGAGCCAAGCAAACTGAAACCAATCTTAATCTCTTCACTATATATTATGATGCTGCCAATTGGCTCAGTGGTTTGAATCTTTGTTCATGTTGAGCTTTAATAAATTTTTTTTTTTGCTTTAATCCATTTTTAAGGCTGCAATCCTTGACCTTTTACAGTAAGCTTAAGGTCCTCCTCAGTTTCAGCAACCAGGATTGTGTTATTTGCAT